AAAAGTAATTAGTCGTTTTAACCCCTTTACCCTTACCTCTTCTTCGTACAACGATACCTTTCCTTCTCTCCCCGACCTCACCTACCCAACCCTACCTCTCTCTCTCTCTCTCTCTCTCCCCCAACTCTTTAGAGTTGGGGAACCTAAAGTAGGGAGCTCACCTGAAAAGTTGTTCCTTGAAAAGTCAAGGAACTCTAACTTTGGGCAATCGGAAAAAATTGTGGACACCACCAAGGTCTTGATCAATGGCATCCAAATCACCCACAGGACATTGTGCATGAACATAGAAGAAACAATGATCGAGATAGAGGAAGCAGTGATTGAGATATTTCGATCTTGGGGTGATGAACTCTTGATCTCCATTACAGATGGCAATGCTGAAACTACTACCATACAAAACTTCGTACAACCCTGAAACTAAGTCTTTAGGTCTCAATGGGGAAGATTTCAATCTTGGGGTAGTGGACGCTCGATCTCCATGACCAGATACCAAGACTGAACCCTTGGTGTTAACACCTTTACCTGACAAATCTCTTGAGTCGAATTTAGAAAGATGCAACTTTCCCAAACCTTGAAACTTGCATACCTAAGTTTCAAGGTTTGGGAAAGTATCAATAGAGAAGCTTGCATGGATGTTTCATTAGGCTTTGAAGGAGTGGAGTTGCAGATCAACAAATCAACCGTCTCCTGGTGATCCATACATTTGAAGGAGAGGAGCTGCAAAGCGTCTTTAGATGAACCAGAAGAAGGTGAAGCCACAGATGCCTCTGGTACTGCCATGGCAGATAAGATGGCGACGATGAAGTAGAGCTCCATCATGAAGCTTGACGGCATGAGGTGGCCCATTTTCTCTACAATCTCCCGTCTTCCACTATTGTTGAGTTGGAAAAGAGATGGGTTGCAGAAAGACACTGGAAGAACAATTTCGAGAGAGAAACAAGTGAGGAGAGAGAGTTAAAAAAGGTAGGTCTTTTTTAAATTTGTTTAGGTTAAAAGTTGGAATAAAAATAAATAAAGATATTTTGGAAGTTAGAAGATGGGTTTTGAAATTTTGGGTTTAAGAAGAAATAGAAAGTTGAAAATGGTGTTTGTGGAGATATCTTCCCTATTAACAATACTGGATAATGACATCACCATATAATATGTGACATTACCCACAAAATGCATTAATTGTTTTTAACTACTAATAAAATGCTACTATTTTCTCTTAAAATATCCATTCAACCTTTTAAATTACCAAAAATGCCCCTATTTGAAAAATTTTGTATTACAATAAAAGGGTATATTAGTGTCAAAAACTATTGCGCATATTAAAAGTCTACACCACCAAGTGGTGTAGCCTAACAAAATCCATATTTTAATGGTCATATTGAAATGTTCAATAACTCAAAATCCACTTTTGTCAATTATCAATCCAGTGACTTCAATATGTCTCATAAAATTTTAGATAGAAAAATCTCAAAATCCTCTTTTGTCAATTATCAATCCCGTGACTTCAATATGTCTCATAAAATTTTAGATAGAAAAATCTTTCGTTGGGTAAGTGTTTTGTCCAAGGATGCAGAAATATTTTCCACGCCATTTTAGAGTCTAAAGAGGCGCTCAATAGGATTTTTTCTAAAATTTTGAGGTAATCACCAAATAATTAATTTTTGGATAAAATATATATTAAGAGTTGAATAAAATATATTAAAAGTTTAAAATAGAGAAAATATTTCCGTACCTTTATTTTTGAGTTCTATATCTTAATAGACCAAAAGTTTAAAATGGGTAATAGAAATTATAAGTTACGTGTCTTCTAATCCTCTAAACTTATTTTATCACTTTTAAATTATTATTATTTTTCAAATAAATATAAAAAACACAGTTTTTCTAAACACCATCTTTTTGTCTCTCTTCACCGTCGTTTTTTCCCTGAATCTCTCCCCTCCACGACTTTCCCCAATTCTACTTACAATTTGAAGGGTGTTCATGAACCAAGAAGATATGGGCGGAGTTAATTTACTGTCACGATTTGAGTGGCGAGAACTTTGGTTTGGATCATGTTGGCGAAGTTGGGACAAGGGTTTCTAAGGGGAATGTAGCAGCAGCGTAATCACTTGTGATAGATTTAGTGATGTTTGTGAAGAAAATTCTGAGATGATTCCATTGATAAGATTTCATGTGTCTCAGCTTGAAGGAGAAGTTATGGGTAGTAAAGTTCCATATAAAGGGTGAAATCGTTCCCCCAAGATTGAAGTTCACAAGGGTTAACTTGTATATGAGATCATTGTTACAGGTGACCCCTTCAAGGGAAGAGGTGACGTCATTTCAGGGAGAGG